TCAAATCATTATTTAAAGTCTTAAAATTACAAATAAGTCCACCATTTACACTGGTTTAAACCTGCAATGACCATGCCATGCCCCATGCTGCAGAGGAAGGGGAAAAAAATCCCAGGGTCTCTATCAATCTGGTTCTGGGCACAATCCCTTCCCATCCCCAAATATGGCAATCAATTAGACCCTGAGCACATGGGCAAGACCCAACAGCCAGACACCTGGGAAAGAATTCTCTGTAGTAACTCAGAGCCCTCCCCATCTAGTGTCCCATCACCAGCCTTTGGAGATATTTGTTGCTAGCAGTTGCAGATTGACTATATGCCATTGTAGGCAGTCCCATCATACCAATCCCTCCATAAAGATATCGAGCTCAGTCTTCAAGCCAGTTAGGTTTTTTGCCCCCACTGCTTCCCTTAGGAGGCTGTTCCAAAACTTCACTCTGATGGTTAGAAACCTTCGCCTAATTTCAAGCCAAAACTTGTGGATGGCCAATATCCATTTGTTCTAGGGCCAAAATTGTTGCTTAACCTAAATAACTCCTCTCCTTCACTGGTATTTATCCTTCTGATGTATTTATAGACAGCAATCATATCTCCCCTCAGCCTTCTTTTGGTTAGGCTAAACAAGCCAAGCTTTTTGAGTCTCCCCTCATAAGGCAGATTTTCCATTCGTCGCATCATCCTACTACAGGGGTGGGCAAAGTTTATGGGCCAAGGACCACATCTGGGTGGGGAAATAGTATGCAGGGCCAGGGTTGGGTGTGGGAGGGGGTGCGTTATGCAGGAAGGGGCTCAGGGCAAGGGATTGGGGCAGAGGAGGGGTGCGGAGTGTATGAGGGGGCTCAGGGAAGGGGGTTGGGGTGCAGGAGGAGTGCGAGGTGCAGGCAGGGGGCTTAGGGCAGGGAGTTGGGGGCAGGGTACAGGAGGGGTTTGGGCTCCGGCCTAGCTTACCTCAAGCGGCTCCGTGGGAGCCTACCCTGTCCCCGGTCCCGCACCGCTCCAGGAAGCGCTGCCCTTGCCTCGCCTCCAGGTACCTCCTCCGAAGCTTCCATTGGCAGCGGTTCCGTTTCATGGAGCCATCTGTCCCCCTCCCCTCCCCCCCGCCTGGGGGTCGCAGGGATGTGGCACCGGTGGTGCTGTGGGCCGGATCCAAAGCCCTGAGGGACCGGATCCGGCCCACGGGCCGTAGTTTGCCCACCCCTGTCTTAGTAGCCCTTCTCTGCACGTGTTCCACTTTGAGTTCATCCTTCTTAAACATGGAGACCAGAATTGCCCACAGTATTTCAGACGAGGTCTCATTGGTGCCTTTTATAACAGTACTAATTTTTTATTGCTTATTGCAAAAATTCTTGCACTATTAATTTTCATCCCATTTCTGTTACTCCAGCTTTCAGGGACATGCAGATCTTCTTGTATGATATTCCTGTCCTCCTCCATGTTGGCAATCCCTCCCAGCTTTGTGTCACACTCCCACTTTTTGTGCCAAAGTCACTAATAAAAATGTTGAATAAGATCGGTCCCAAGACTGATCTCGGAGGAACTCCACTAGTAACCTCCCTCCAGCCTGACAACTCACCGTTCAGTATGACCCCCTTGTAGTCTCCCCTTTAACCAATTCCTTATCGACCTTTCAGTTCTCATATTAATCCCCATCTTGTCCAGTTTAACGAATAGTTTCCTATGTGGAACTGTATAAAATGCCTTACTGACATCCAGATAGATTAGAGCTACTGCATTTCCTTTGTCCAAAAAATTAGTTACCTTGTGACAGAAGGAGATATGGTTTCTCTGGCACCATCTACCTTTTGTAACACCATGTTTTATTTATTTATAGTGCTGAAGGCTGGAAGGAACTGTTAGCAATAGGCTGAGAATGGCCATGTGGAGGTGGGGGAGGGGATGGCAGACAGTGTAGAGGTGGGGGAGGGGATGCGATGTTGAAGGTATATCTGGGATTTTGTTTTGTAGGAGTCAATGTCTCTGCTCCCTGTGGCCGTGATGCATTCTGTACTAGAGCAGCACATCAGCAGAGCAGACACACACACTGTAGCTCCGTCTGGACAACGCAGCATTCACTGCCAGATGGGATGGGTGATTTTTCAGGGGCCCAGCTTGATATGCCTGGCTGGGGTGGATTCACTTGGACGAGGGTCTGGGTCTCTGATAGTTTGGGATGTTCCTTTTTGCATAGTCAGTTCTTTCCCTTTATTGTTTTACCCCCACCTATGCCCAATGCCACTCTCTTCTTAACTTGCCTTGGTTATTTCACTTCCAGCTTTTAAATGGGATCTAATAATTGCAAAGCTGAATGAAAGATAAAAGAAACAGAACCATTTGAATTTTGGCACATAGATGGTAGAACTACCTAGTGAAGGTCTGCTGTGATTACCTGGTTATCTATAGCGTTTTCTGATGTCAAAGAGCCAAAAGCGCTTTTTAGGGTGAAAGGGCTCGTCAGGTGTTTGCTCTCTAGGGAGCATGTCACTGGCCAGGGCTTTCAGTCTTTCAGGAGTGGTGCGCTGGATTGTATTTAGTAATCTCAAAATAAAAGGTTAAGACGGCTGGTTCACAATATCCAATGAAATCTTGCAAACGATTATACAAATAGACTCTAATGCTATTAAAACAACATGGCATTAATACTGATTCAAAACTGAAATTAAAATTTGGAGATAAACACATGAGAAATGAACAGACACCTAATTTATATTTCTTAATGCCTGAAATTTTGACATTAATTCACACCATCTTTTTTTTTCAGAGCAATGCACAGCACACAGTCAAGTTAATTAATGAAAGCACGCCAATTATTGACTGCTTTGTGTTGCATAAGCATCTGATTAAGCACCCGTTTAAAACTGTACCACTGTAAGTGAAAATGCATCAACGCAGCTTAGCTCAAATGTGTTTAAATGTGAATGAAAAGATCCTAAATTAAATATATGGCAGGATGGTAAATAGGGGGGAAATGCACCGAAGTGCCTCTACCCAGTCCTGTTGATTTCTTGTCCCAGCCCCCCATGAATTCTGGCCTCTCAGTCAACTCGGCTCCCAGTCCCACATCAGCTGTGCCCTCTCCCAGCCTAACCCGGTTCTACTGCAGTTCTTCATCCCCCTCGTCCAGGCAGGGGGTTAGTGCTGCAGCACCCAAGGCACCTGCGTTAATCACTGTCCCCACATACTGGGGCTATTTAGATTTCAGGAAACGATTTATCAGAGTCACTCACTCTGGCAGGTGGGAGAGAGGAGAGGCTGAGAGGGAGTTTGCTCCCCACACTCTGTAGGGCCATGTTTGACCCTGATAGCTTCCATGTTACCTCATCCTCCACCCTCCCCCATGTGTCTCTGCCCGTATGTCAGTGTGTCACCTTCTGATCATAATGCCACTGGCCTCAGCAGAGCTCCCAGATGGGAGCTACATCACAATGGGGTTACGGTACTGAGAGTAAAATACATCACTGGGAGGGTGTAATTATCTTCAAGACAAGCATTACAGTCTAGAAAGTGAAAGAATTAAAGTACTTTATTACTTAAAAATCCAGTCCTTTCAAGCGTACTTTTATTAATAAATTGCAGTAAAATGTTTTCAGTGTACACACAGATCAAAAAATATGTATGTATGTAAAATACAGAAATGCTTCTGGAGAAAGTAGAGTTTGATTTAAGGATATTTACACTGTATATTTTACATGTGTTATTGACAATTTGTGTTTGAACAGTTATAAAGATTTGGCTTTTTGAATCTCAACATTTACTGTAATTAAATAATTGTTGTCTGATGACCCCCATAACGTCCCACAGCTCTAAAAATCGAAATTGTAAACACCGAAAAAAGGGCTTAAAAATAAATATCAATATCCTCAATTGAAATTAAAAAAAAAAGAAATAGAATGAATTTGGCCAACCCACTTAACAGCAATCACAATATGCTAGGGGATGGAAATTCACAGCTAAGGCACCCACCCTGAATTCTGCCCTGTAGTGACACCAGGCAATCGCCATAGGGCAATGAATAAGGCATTTTAGTGTATAAAGTCCCAGATTAGATTATACCGATTTGTAAAGACATGAGAACTTTCTCTCAGGGTATCAACTTCACTGGGTTGTTTCTTTTAGTGGTATGTAGTAGTTTTGGGCGAGGTTTGACCCTCAGCGGGGCTGTGGAGTATCCCACCACCTTGCTCTGGTCTGGCGGCAGTCGGGGACCGCAGACCCACAGTTAGGGGCTCAGGCCTGTAAGCAGGGGCTGGGCCAAGAGGTCCGAACGCAGGCCCTTAAGCAAGGGCTGAGGCAAAGTCTATAGCAGCCCAAGCCTTAAGTCAGGGCAGGGCAGTAATCAAATAGTCAATCAGAGGCCCAGGCCCTTAAGCAGGGGCTGGGTCCGTTTGTAGCATCCCAGGCCCTAGGTCAGGGCGGGGCAGTAAGCAAATAGTCAGTAACCCAGGCCTTAAGCAGGGGCTGGGTCAGGGTTTGTAGCAGCCCAGGCCCTAGATCAGGGCGGGGCAGTAAGCAAATAGTTAGCCAGTAACCCAGCCTCTCTAGGCCAGGGAAAAAGGGGGAGTCTGCCACCCAAGGATTGGGTGGCAGGGGGGATGCAGGCCCTCCTACTCCACTGCGTCCCAGCCCGGGGCCCTAGCAGCAGCGGATACTCGCTGCTGTCAATGGGGATCCTGGCCGCAACACACTGACATCGGCTCTGGCAGTGCAGCAGCCAGACTGGGGTCGGCTGCCCCCGGGCTACTTCCACACTCCCCCTCGTATGGTACCTGGGCCGTCCTAGTGTCCTCGGTGCTCTCGACCAGCATCGGCTCCTCAGGATATCGGGCAAAGGGCAGGCTCGGCTCCTCCTCGGGGTAGCTGGCACGGGGCAGGCTCAGCTCCTCCTCGGGGTAGCTGGCACGGGGCAGGCTCGGCTCCTCCTCGGGGTAGCTGGCATGGGGCAGGCTTGGCCAGTCCTCCTCAGGGTAGCGGGCGAGAGGTAGGCTTGGCTCCTCCTCGGGGTAGCTGGCATGGGGCAGGCTTGGCCAGTCCTCCTCAGGGTAGCGGGCGAGGGGTAGGCTCAGCAGGCCTGGTAAGTCAGCAGGCCGGTCGCGGCCTGCGGCTGTCTCCCAAGTGGGAGCTCGGCCAGAGACGTCTGCGCTTTCCGCCGGCGTGGGCTCCACTGAGCTCCGCAAGCGGGCTTTTATACTTCCGGGTTGGCACCGTGACCTCTGAGGGGTGGGCACCGGACCCGGTGGCTCTGCCCACGTTGGTATTAGGGGAGGTTCGGCCCTCAGCGGGGCTGTGGGGTATTCCACCGCCTCGCTACATGGTAATTCCTAGAAGTCAATAGATAAATAACATTCTGTCAGTTCTGAAATGGCCTTTTCAGATTTCTGGGAAGTGTCCATAATGTTGCACTAGGGGCCAGGTCCTCGGAGAGATGGAACCTTGGTTTCATTTTAACTTGTCCATGCTCAGCAGCTTCCGGAATTTGGTTCAAAGTATTTCCATGTTTCCCTATCCTGTTCTTAAAAGTGCTGCTAGAGAAAGTGGGGAAGGGCAGGAACTCACTGCAGGATCAATAGCTGAGTCCCTTAGATATTTATAGCTCATTGGAAGAAGGACGGGGATTGGTGGGTGTCTGGGGATTTAATAATAAACACACAAATATCATTGTTCTTAATGAATTTTCATCTTCTAATTCCCATAACCTACTAATTATACCTGGCTGCCCCCCCAGCAGTCTGGGGAGGGAGTACTAGAAATCTTCTTTGGCCAGTGTGGAACCTAAAGCACAAGGATCTTTCAGTGACTGGCTCAAAGTCACCCAGAGTGAAATTCACTTCACTGGATAAATCCCTAGTTGCTGGGCTCTGCAGAGGGGTGGGGGGGTGAATTCCATTCCTGGGCATGGACACCCCCGAATCCTCACCCCGATCTCAGACACTACCCCAACCTTCCCCTGCAGTGATGGACCCACTTGATGTTGCCAGAGCCATCTGCCATGGGACCTAGAGGGGGCAGAGGCCCAGCTCCAGAATTGCTACCCCTGCCCACAGCCCCCATGCTATGCTGGAGTTGCCCTGGCTTTCCACTCTGCAGATGGGTCTAGCTGCCTGGGCACCGACCCCGTATGCCCACCACACACAAAGGTCTTCACAACACCCATCCCAGGATGGGGAAGGACAATCTGGGTCTGGCTGCAGTCTCCCCTTGCTGCTGTGAGAGGAATGGGGTGGTCCCTCATATAGGACACAAACATACCCGGGGCAGAAGGGAAATATAATTTCTTCCAGGGGCTTGAAAATGTTTGATTTAGAGTCCTGAGCTCTGTCTTCCTGTTTGTCTCCTTCTGCCACTTTCAGATCTCTTGGAGAGACAAGGTAGGTGAGTTATTTTTTTTTAGAACCAATTAAAAATACCTCTCTTTAATATCTTGGAACCAACATGGCTACAACAACTCTTTTCCCTTTGTACCCCCTCCCACTCTCACCCTCCCTCAGCTGAGACTGTCCCCTGTGATGGGAGAATAAGAGTTCAGTCCTGTCATTGGATTGGGTCTCACCAGCACTGATGGGAGTGAAAGTCTGTGTGCATTAATGACAGCAGCAACTACGGGACTCGACACTTAGGGAGAAAAGATGGGAGTGAGCAGGTTATGTTTGTGCCGGGTGTGAGTTACTCATGTGGGAATTCTGTGCCACTGCATACGCACAGAATTCATGTCCAGCGCAGAATTGCTTTGTTAGTCGTTTGTTTTTTTTTTGCATGAAGAAAATAAATTCTGCCCGAGAAGTGCTGCAGTTCTGCCTTTCGCCCACCCTGTTGCACCAGAACAGCCAACAGCCAGCTGGGTTGATCTTGGTTGGAAATTATTGCCCCGAGCTATACCCCAACTAGGAAGAGAGTTAGTGGGTGTAACTTGGAAGAGTCCTCAGACAAGGCTGCCTCTGGGGGTGGGGACAGGTCATTCTCTACTCGCAAGAGGGTGTGGAAAGGGCACAGGAGGAGCAAGTGTCCCCTATGGAGACTGCCCAGCCCCAGGTTATCCAGTCCCAGACGCTTCTTCCCCCACCATACCCCAAACCTCTTCACCCCTCCAACCATCAGTTGCCAGTCTTCTCTCACTGCTACCCCTTCCTGACTGGCAGAGAACCTCTAAGCCAGTAGTGGGTCAGGGCTCATCTCTCTGCCTGAGGCCTCGGGGCACTTTCTTCCTCTCTGAGGGTACCATGCCACAGGGGCCACACAAATCTACATTGCTTAGGCTTTGGCTTCAGCCCTTGGTGGTGGGGCTCAGGGCCCTGGACTTCAGCTTTCTGCCCTGGGCCTCAGCGAGTCTAATGCTGGCCTTGCTTGGGGGCCCCTGAAACCTACAAGTGTCCCCCCAGCCAGCCCCAGACCCCTGGTTGAGAACCACTACCTTACACCATGAATCACAGCAATATTCAGGTTACTGCCAGTCATAGAATCATAGAATATCAGGGTTGGAAGGGACCTCAGAAGGTCATCTAGTCCAACCCCCTGCAACTAGTCAGATATTAACCCAGGCAGCAACTCACAAGCATTCAATAAAGTCTAAACACATTCTTACAATTCTAATATCTGTTTTAACAATACTAACACAGGTGAGTCAGACAGATTCCAGCTATGTGTTTGTCCATATTCAATTAAGACATGGGGGCTTTTGCAAGAGCTAACACCTCATCTGCCAGTGTCACAGGCAGAGATGGTGTGTCTAGCCTCTCTTTGCCAGAAGCTGGGAATGGGTGACGGGATGGATCATTTGATGATTCCCTGTTCTGTTCTTTCCCTTTGAAGCACTTGGCATTGGCCACTGAGCTAGATGGACCATTGGTCTGACGCAGTGGGCTCTTCTTATGTTCACAGTCTCTGAGGCATATCTACTCATTTGGAATCACTGTGGAGCCACAGAAAAAGCTAGGTATGCTGAGGCAAGAAGGCCCAGTCTCAGCGCCCTTGAGTTCACGCTTGTCAAAAGCTAAAACTAGGCCCAGCCCTTGAAAGGGGGCACTCCCAGGAGAGACTGTATAAAGGCTGGAGCATCAAACAACTTTGTAAACCTGAGAGAGCTGCCTTGGGGACAATGACAGGGAGAATCCCCCAAAGTGACTTCTTTGATTCTGCTCTTCTCTGGCCTTTGGTTCATAGAATCATAGAACTGGAAGGGACCTCAAGAGGTCATCTAGTCCAGTCCCCTTCACTCAAGGCAGGATTAAGTATTATCTGGACCATGCCTGAGAGGTGTTTCTCCAGCCTGCTCTTAAAAATCCCCAATGACGGAGACTCCACAACCTCCCTAGGCAATTTATTCCATTGCTTAACCACTCTGACAATTAGGAAGTTTTTTCCCTAATCTCCATCCTAAACTGCCCTTGCTGCAATTCAAAGCCATTGCTTCTTATCCTATCCTTAGAGGTTAAGAAGAATATTTCTCCCGCATCTTTGTAACAACCTTTTATGTACTTGAAAACTATTACCATGTCCCCTCTCAGTCTTCTCTTCTCCAGACTAAACAAACCCAGTTTTTTCAATCTTCCCTCATAGGTCATGTTTTCTAGACCTTGAATCATTTTTGTTGCTGTTCTCTGGACTTTCTCCAATTTGTCCACATCTTTCCTGAAATGTGGCACCCACAACTGGACACAGTACTCCAGTTGTGGCCTAATTAGTGTGAAGTAGAGCAGAAGAATTACTTCTCGTGTCTTGCTTACAGTACTCCTGCTAATATATCCCAGAATTATGTTTTCTTTTTTTTTTGCAACAGTGTTACACTGTTGACTCATATTTAGCTTGTGATCCACTATGACCCCCAGATCCCTTTCCACAATACTCCATCCTGGACAGTCATTTCCCATTTTGTATGTGTGCAACTGATTGTTCCTTCCTAAGCGGTGTACTTTGCATTTGTCCTTATTGAATTTCATCCTATTTACTTCAGACCTTTTCTCCAGTTTGACCAGATCATTTTGAATTTTAATCCTATCCTCCAAAGCACTTGCAACCCCTCCCAGCTTGGTATAGTCCACAAACTTGATAAGTGTAACAGAGAGACTGTTATTGGGAGGGTGTCACCATGTCTTAGAGGGTTACACCCTGGTGGGAGGGGGCTAGGCCTGTTCTGGAATAAGGTCACTCTGTGCTTTACAGTGTGGCAGAACCTAGAAAGTCCATTAGCATGGAAAAATCCTGGGGGGGGAATTGCATGTGGAATGGATGAAAACCCCATCTGAATTCTCTCACATTGCCCTTCTCGTCCTGTCAGGCTACAGAATAACATCCACGTTTGCTCCACATCATCCCATCCTCCCAAGGGGAAGGAAATGGCTGCAATGGAGCTGGCTCAGGTAAGAGATTATCACGGAGCTGGTGGTGGGCTCTGCTTGGAGGGAGAGGAGCAATAAAGGCATAGGAAGGTGGTAGCTGCTACACGTAGTGGGAGGCAGGAAATAACAGGATGTGACAAACCCTCTGAGACTTGTGTAATCTAGGGTGTCATGGGTTGTCACCCCCAGGGTACAGTCTCGGGGGCTTCTGGGAACCGCTGTGCCCTCTAACCCTCAAGCTGGGCTGGCCCTTCTCACACTGCTTTGCTGGAGATTCAGTTAGCCTCTCCAGGCTCTGTTATCACCCAACACGAAAGCAGGTGGTGCCATACACCCAACTAAGCTACCTGAGTGCTTTACCTAAGCCACTCAAGGACAGATAGAAGACAACAGCCAATTTCCCAGCTCCCCAACCTTGCACACTTGCTGTAGTATAAATTCAGAATGATACCATCTTATAGTGCACTGGGCTCTCTATAATGTAATCTCATTAATATAATTCACCTTCCCCTGGATATGGGAAAGATACGCACAATAAGCTTGTGCTAACCAATCTCAGATTTTCTCCAGATATTTCACTCAAAATACTTAACACTGGTTAAGATAAAGCATAAAACAAGTTTATTAACTGCAGAAAGATAGATTTTAAGTGATTATTGTTAGAAGAATAAAGGAGCAGGTTAACCCAGAGGCAGATATGAGTACAGCCTTCTTTATTGCGATACTTGTTCCCCTCGACCCAATTGTCGAGTAAGCACTGCATTAGTTACATCACACTCCTTTTATCTCAGTTAGTATGTACACGCCTACATCCATTACAACACCCTGAAAACTCTTATTAAATAATAGAAACACCCATACTGTTAGTATACTCACACCTATCTATTATTCATAGGATTACGCATGTCATACAGACATTTTTACCTTGAAAATACAGTTCTTTGCATTAATGTGTTGCTACAAATTTTCTTAATCAGCAGTTCTCAGGGGATGGAGGAAGGGGCAATGAGCAGTTCTCAGGGGAGGGAGGAAGGGCCATAAGCCAGGGCTTGTTTATGTAGCTGGGAAAGGAAAGGAGGGGGAGATAACATTTCTTTTACTTTCTTTCACACAAAGGACATTCATTCCGACAACTAGATTTCTCATGTAGCTGCATCCTTATCAATTCTTACAAGCAACAGGGAAAGGAAAAATATGGCAACTTACTTAGGCTACATCTACACTACAGGGGGGAGTCGATTTAAGATACGCAAATTCAGCTACGTGAATAGCGTAGCTGAATTCGACGTATCGCAGCCGACTTACCCGCTGTGAGGTCGGCGGCAAAATCAACCTCTGCGGCTTCCCGTCGACGGCGCTTACTCCCACCTCCGCTGGTGGACTAAGAGAGGTCGATTTCTACCCGCCGATTCAGGCGGGTAGTGTAGACCCAGCCTCATTAAACAAAGAATTACTGCCTGCTTATGCCTCTATCCCCTAATGCCATGTCAGCACATTAGCAGTTCCCAGCTCTTTTACTTAACCCTAACATATCCCAACAATTATAAGTGATAGCAAACAGATTAAAGCAGATTACTTAGCAAATAACCAAAAACTCAAACTAAGCCTAACACACTAGATGGATAGAATTTGAATTAGCAATTTCTCACCCTGACTGATGATACAAGCAGTCCACTAAGTTTCCATACACAAGCTAGAAATCCCTTTACCCTGGGACCAGCACATCCCCCAGTTCAGTCTTTGTTCCTCATGTGTTTCCAGGAGTTTGCTTGTGTGGGGAATGAGGCCAAGAGATGATGTCACACCTCACCTTATGTAGCTTTTCCACATGGCGGAACCCTTTGTTCCAAACTCAGTTCCCAGTTCAATTTGTGGAAAAATAGAGGTAACAAAATGGAGTTCAGTGTCATGTGGTTTCGTCACATGCCCTAGCATGCCCTGTTGTGTCATAGTAGCCATGACTCATAGGCTGGCTGAAACATTCACAGGAAGGCTAAGCTCTTCCACGGTCCATTGTCTTTGTTGATGAGCCATCAGCGCTGTCTGGCTTCTTCACTGTTAGTGAAAGGCTAGTTGTGGGTGTTACCCAGAGTAAACACATTTGAAATACAGATACATAAGTCAGTATCCATAACTTCAGATACAAACATGATCTATGCACACAAATAGGATAATCCTATTCAGCAAATCATAACTTTCCCAATGATACCGCACATGACACATCTTGCACATAATGCATCATAATTATGACTTAATCCTATTATGATCATACCACTATACTGAATATGAGGTGTAGTGTCAGAAAGGGCCTAATTTCAAGGCACAGGAGTTGGGAATGGAACTTCCCCTCTTTGTGGAACAGGAAATAGCCCTCCAGCCAGGGCTGGGAAAACTTCCCAGACTCTGAGTGCTGGAGCCCAAATCTATTGACACTTCATTAGTTACCACCACCCCCAATCTTTGTGGCAACTGCAATCTTTATTAATGATGATTTTATATTCTCTTCTAGGTCATTGATAAGAATGTTAAATAGCACAGCGCCGAGATCCAATCCTTGCGGGAACCCGCTAGAAATAAATCCACTCGACCATGGTTCCCCATTTACAATCACAGTTTTTAATCTATTTAATGTATGCTGTGTCTATTTTGTATCGTACTAGTTTTTTAGTCAAAATATTGTGCTGAACTAAGTCATATGCCTTACAGAAGTCTAGGTATATTACATCAATAATATTAGCTGCAACCAAACTTTTGATCTCATCCAATAAGGATATCCAGTTAGTTGGATAGGATTTATTTTCTCTAAACCTTTGTTGATGGGTACTAATTATATTACCCTCCTTTAATACTTTATTAATAAATCCAGTATTGGCTACTCCATTATCTTGTCCAGTATCGATGTCAGACTGACACTCTTGTAATTAGCTGGGTCATCTCTTTTACACTTTTTAAATATTGGCACAGCATTAGCTTTATTAGAGTCTTCTGGAATTTCCCCAGTGTTCCAAGTCCTAATTAAAATCAACATTAACAGTCCACCACGCTCCTCCACCAGGCCTTTTAAAACTCTTGGATACAAGTTATCTGGACCTGCTTGTTTAAACACGTCTAATTGTAATACCTGCTGTTTAACGTCCTCGTGAGCTATTGTTAGAATGGAAAGACTGTCGACGTCAACATCTTATGATATGAGTTACATCATCTGTTTTTCTCCAAATCCAGGAGAGAAATATTTATTGAA